AGAACAACAAACATCAACAAAAACAATCACTCCTTTCAAGAAGCTTATAGTCTAATATGGAAGAGAAAATATAAAAAATACAAACTATAAGATATATAGTCATCAGTTAATAAGCATTTATTAAGAGCTTACTAGTGCCAGGCACTGTGTTAAGCTCTTACAATACAAATAAAAGCAGAAAAATAGACAATCCCTGCTCTCAATGAGCTTACATTCTATTGGGTGAAGAAGACACATAAAAGGAGACTGAAAACAGTGGGAGAAAGGTACCTAGCGCCTTGATCATGGTAGAGAAATCCCTATGGGGAGGAATCAGTGTTGCAGCTTGAAAAGGGGTGAAGAAATCTTTGGCTTAGGTCTTCTCTTTAATTTGGAGAGTAAGGTAAGGTCTCACTTCACACTTCCAATGTGTGAAGTAATTAAGGAGTACTTTGAATCAGCTTTCCAGCTGAGAAGGTTTTTATGGCATATACAAGACAAATTAGTTTGAATACCAAACATGTGTTGCCTAAAAGACTATTTTACAGAGAACACACACCAGGCAAGCACTCACATGGAGGTCAGAAGAAGAAATACAAGGACTCTCAAAGTTTCTCTAAAGAACTTCAGAATCAATTGCATGTCATGGGAGACACTGGCAAAGGGCACCCAGCATGACATACAAACATCAAAGAAGGCACTGTTTTCTATGAGTAAAGCATAATTGCAGTAGCTCAAAAGAAATGTGAGATGCCCAAATTTAGACATCTCTACTCCAAATCTTCATGTGGACTATTTGTGCCCAAACTGTGGCAGAGGCTTCTAAGCTTGTATTGGTCTGATCAGCCACAGTCAGACACATAGACACTTGACTCCAAAATAGTGATGTCATTTTGGTCCTCTTTGAGAGTGAAAGACAAGAATCAATTGAGATAATCAACAGGGGGGAGGTCCTAATATTAAGAGAGATTAAGAAAGCTTCTTATAAAAGAGAGGGCTTTAGCTGGGACTTGAAGCAATCAAGGAAAGTCAGGAAACAGAGATGAGAAGGGAGAGAATTCCAGGCATGAGAGATAGGCAGTAAAAATGTCCTTGGTTAAAAGATGATGGAGATGCTATGTGATGAACAGCAAAGGAGACAGGCCAAGCTCATTGTATCAAAAAGAAAAAAAAAAGATGTGGGGGTGAGTTAGGTGTAGGAAGACTGGAAAGGGTTTTGAATGTCCAATAGAGGATTTTATATTTGATCCTGCAGGCAAAGGGATTTTGGAATAGAGAGTTTCATAGTAAAACATGTACTTTAGGAAGGTCTATTTGGCAGCTTATCACTTATCCCCAATTTGTCCAGTTCCTCATCTGTAAATTGGGGACACACTGAAGAAGGAAATGGCAAACTACTCATGTATCTATGCCAAGAAAACAGCATGGATAACCTCTATGGGGTCATGTAGAGTCAGACATGACTGAATGACTGAACAACAATGACAACAATTTGAGGGCAAGTGGAGGTTGGACTGGAATGAGGAGAGACTGGAAGCAGGGAGCCCACAGAAGACTATTTCAATAGTCTGGACACGACTTGATTAGGGCCTGTAGCAGGATGGTGGAATTGTCAGAGGAGAGGAGGCATATGAGGAGTTCTAATGAGAATAGTATAAACAGGACTTGGTAACAGATTGCATATCGGGAGGAGAGGTGGTAAAAGAGTGTAAGGAGTTATGGATGACACCTAGGTTATGAATCTGGGTGACTGGGAAGATGGTGGTGCCTTTGATAGTAACACAAAAGTTAGCAAGAGGGGAGAGCTTAGGGGGAAAGTTAATGAATTCAACTGGGGGCATGTTGAGTTTAAGATGTCTGCAGGATATCCAGGACAAATAAATCATTATCCTTTAAATATTCATTTGTAGACTTAGGGAACTTCTGCACCTCTCCTCTCTCTGCCTGTTACCTCCCCTCTCTCCCTTCCTAAAAATTTCCACTGTGTTATTCCTCCCATAAAATATGTTGATTTACTTATAAGAGGTCATGAGACTGTGGGGTATTTTTTTCAGCTATTCCTCTTCCCCTTCTCCTGATTCTTTAAGTTTCCTTGACACCCTTCTTTGTTCTTTCTTCTACCCCTGGGTTATGTTCTAGTGTTTAAACAATAGCCTATAAGTTTGAGAGAATTTATTTCATTATTTACTCTTTGCATGGTAATTGTATTTATAATTTGTACATATCTATGATGAGTGTACTTGGAAGTTCTATTCTATTCACTTCTGTTATTTTTCCAGACATGATTCTTATTTAAAATCCATCTTTTTTCATTGGTGATGACTCAAATTCGCAGAATATGTTATTTTGGCATACCATTTTTTGCTCCTTTGTTTTTTAGAATGTTCTACTAAATTTCTTCCTCTGATTTATCATGACTATAGAGAAATCTTGATTTATCAAGTTGGTGTTCCTTCAAAAGTGAAAGTCCTTTGGCAGCTTCCAAAACTTGTTGTTGTTGTTATTGTTGTTGTTGTTTTGTTATTAAAATTAAGAAATTTTATCACCATGTACCTTAGAGTTGCAAGTGAGTGTAATTGTATCCGTGTTTTCCTCCTGGTGATCCATGGCCAAAAAATACTTTGTTTCCTGTATTCAAAAGTTTTGAAGAGTTTCCTTATTTTATTTACTTTATTACATTTTTCAGGTTTTTCCCCTTAATTTTATTATGTTCTTTTGAGAGACTCATGAACTCTAAGTTATTTCTGGGCATCCTGTTTTCAAGGTCAGATGCTTCAGTTTATACAACATCCAAGTAGTCTTTTAATATGGTTGCCTTTTGGTTCTATTTCACCAAAGTTTCCTTCACTTCAGTATTTTTTGTGCTCCAAATTTAGCATTTTCTTTTTCAGAGCCTCTCCTGGTTTGGAAAAAAAAATATACAGCATGTCTTTTAAATTCTGTTATTTTGCTATTTTTTAAAGTTCTGAATTGTTCTGATTACCAACCTAATCGTATTCTTAATATCATAATTGAATCGTTTTAGGGTTTATTTTTTTGAGACATTCTGGAGTTTCTAGCCATTGTTCCATGATCTGAGGAGTCAGCATAATTCTCCTTTTCACTGGGCAGTTTTGGTTTATATATAATAATAATTAATAATAATAGCTAACATTTATATAGTGCTTACAGTGTATCAGGTACTATGCAAACTGCTTTGCAATTATTATCTCATTTGATCCTCATAACAATCCTGGGAGGAGCTACTATTATGGTCCCCATTTTACAAATATGGAAACATAAGGAAATAGAGGTTGTGACTTGCTCATGGTCACACATCTAGTAAATGTTTGAGGATGGATTTGAATTCAGGTCTTCTTGACTCCAGGTGCAGGATTCTATCTATTGCATGACCTCTGCCAAAATATAACACTTGCTCATTTTATTCTGCATTCTCTAATCCTCCCCCTCCCCCTTTCTTCCTTCTGCCTTTATATTGGTTAGTCTGCTTGTGAACTATATAATTACTCAGATTTTTTTTTCTCCCTTGGCCTTTTAGTCTTTGGTCCATTTTGATCATTATCATCACCTCCTATCAGCAGGAACTTTGGTTTCTATCCCTAGCACCAATCTTGGGCTCTGATACTATTACCTGTCTTTTACTGAACCAGGCCTCTGACGTTTCCCAACCATCTCCATATTGTCTTGACTTTCCAGCTCAGATTTATGGGATGTTTTCCCCCATTAAAATGTAAGCTCCTGAAAGCAAGTATTATCTCTTAATCTCCCTAGGACTTAGCACAGAGCTTAGTACATAATTAGTACTTAGTAAATGTTGTCTAGCTGGCTAATTACTATCATCTATCTATCAACTATCTATCTAGGGTACCTATCATCTATAAACTATGTATTATTTTTCTATCAATCATCTATCTTTCGAATCATATATCATCTATTTCTATGTCATCTCATTATCTATGTATTTTCTCTCTCTCTCTCTCTCTCTCTCTCTCTCTCTCTCTCTCTCTCTCTTTTTTAATTGTTTATCTCTGATTTTTCTCCTCACTCTTTTGCTCCTCCCCTTCCACTGCAACAGATTCTTCATTGCTGGTTGTTCTCAGCTTTCTTGCATTTGTAATGAAAGGTCTTTGTCCAGGTCATTGCCAAACTCTAGAAGAAAGGACTGAGCCTGAATGGGTTTCCTCTTTCTCTTGATTATGGAAGCTCTTTTAATCTATGTAGCCCACAGAACAGAGGTTCAAAACCTGGTGTTAAGAAGGTCTCAGTTCAATCCTGATCCAGGTACTTACCAGCTGTCTGACCCTAAGCAAATCACCTAACCTCTCAAAGCCTCAGTTTCCTCATCTTTAAAATGTGGGCAACAAAAGTACCTAATTCCCACAGTATTTGTGAAGGTACTATATGTAAAGTGTTCTGTAAACCTTAAAAAATATTGTACAAATACCAGCTAAAAAGAGGCACATTTTCTTCTTTCCTCCTCAAGTTATTCTCCCTTTCCTTTGCATGATTTGGTAGAATTAGTGTTTGGGGGGCTGAGGGAGAGTTCAGGCTGAATGGCTGGGGGTGTAGGAGCTAGGTAAAGAGGGACTTGTATAGCCAACCCTATAGTACAAACCTGAGATTGTTCTTGTTCTGCCTATGCCCCTGCATATATAGAGGGATAGAGTTAAGGATATTAAATATTTAAGTTCCTTGATATTAGACAATATTATTTTTTTTTCACCTTGAATAGTGCTTGTACTTTCTTATCTTGTGGATTCTAATTTAGTTCCTCTATGTCATTCATAATTACTTCTTCTTCTTCTTCTTCTTCCTTCTTCTTTTTTGTTTGTTTGGTTTTTTTGTTGTTTTTGCTTTTGTTTTTTGAGTTGCAGAGGTTTGGGAAAACACATCCTGAATCATATTGTTAATTAAGGTGATCAAGAAATTCTTATTGATTATGATGCAAACATGACATCCCAGCTTCCTTTCCTGCTGAAACCAAGGAGGATTCACCTAAGAGACAGTTTCTGCACTGGCATTTGAACATCATTATAATTAGAAGCTCAGAGTCCCGTTAATTTCTTTCTATTTGTTGCTCTCAATGTAACATAGATATGAAATCATTGCCTCCTGTAACTGTAGCTCATGGGGTTGAGACACACCTCATATCTAGGAGTCTAGGAGAACAGAAAGAGAGAGAGAGAGAGAGAGAGAGAGAGAGGAGAGAGAGAGAGAAATTTATTAAATGATTATTTACACTGTGCTAAGCAAGGGGCTAGAAATACAAGCAAAAAATCCCACCCCTATCTCAAGGAAATTACATTCTAATAAAGGAGTATAATATATAAAAGGGAGCTGATAAGTTAGTTTACAAAATAAGCACTTATTTGCGCCCTTGCGGAACTAGTTGCTTCTTTTCTCATACTGAAACATTTGGCTGTCAGGAAGAGTTAGCATGCTTACTGATCCTTAGTGGTTGAAGTGGATGCACTATGTATAACTGAATAGATATATTTTTTAAATATCTTAATCCAATGGAGGTATAGGTTGTGAAATTTTCCAAGTACCAAATTTCACTGAGAGAAATAATGAAGTGCTTGAGACTATTTGCCTTAGCCTTGGTATGGATCACCTTTTTCTGACTTGAGGCCTACCTAATTAACAATACACTGGAGTGAAAGAAAACAGATGACGTTTCTAATGGTGTTTTGCTAGTGGATTTACATTGCAAATGCTACATGATCATCAGTTAATTATTTCTATAACATTCCTGGTTAATTACTCGATGTTCTTCTTTCCATTTGGCATAGAACAACTGATACAAGATGTTAAATGGCTTGCCTAAGACCACACAGTGAGCCACTGAGGATCCTGCCCTTGGTGTTGCTACTCTTGTCTTATTAGTCTGTAGTCCAAGGGACTTGGATCTATCTTCACTCAGATCCAAGCTAATGTCCTTAAAATAAATTAAATGGGTTTTCACCTACTGACATATGTCCTACTCTATATATTTCACAAATATCAGAGGATAGGACTTTGCCTCAAATGAGTGGCATTTTATCAATATTTGCAACAATTACAGCAACTTAAAAGGGAAAGGTACATTCAGGGTTTTCTGGACAGTAGGAGAGCAGCTTGTTAGGACTGAGAGTGTTTCTTTTGGCCAGAAGTGCAATGAGAACAAAAAGAGCTTTGGAAGGAAAATATCTTCAGAAAACACTAAGCCATTTCAAAATAGTAAACCCAAGGCTTTCACTAAATGGGAGGAGGAGGAGGAAGATGAGCTATTCATTTGTTCAGTCTTATTTATTTTGTCAGAGAAAAAGATCAACCATGGGAGGCTGGGGGTGCAGGTAGGAAATTGACTTCCTATGGAGTAATAATGAGAATCTAATTTCATTTCCTAGCTCACCCCACTTCTGTGGCCAAGATGTTGATAATAGCTATAAAACTAAAGGAAAAAAATTGCCTGAAGCCAAAATTAAAAAGGAAAAGTCAAAGCCCATCTAATCACTCCTTAAACTGTCCCCATCAACAAATTGACTACTGGTGGGTTTTGTGGGCTCTATTCATCTAACAGCAGGGCTTTGATGGTGAAAAATTACAATAGAAATCTCTCCAACCCTCCACACCCTACCTGAGAAGGAAGACACATCTCTCCTTCCATTTTTCCTACATCCACCATAAGACGTTACTAGGGAAAAACTAAATCTCTAGACTCCAATTTAAGCTCTGATGAAGAGGCTTAAATATCTCATATTTATTGTAAGATTAAATTTTTCACAAAATAAAACTTAATAGCATCACATTTTTATCAATATATTTTCTGAACATCCATAAATAATAGCAAATCACTTATTTAGCATTTATAGTGTTTTCCTCACAGCTGTGTGAGGTAAATGAGGCAAGCATCATTATATGTGACCTATTTGCCTCCCAGGAGGGCTTTTGTGAAGCTCAAATGCAATCATATATGTAAAGTGTTTTGTGAGTCTTAAAGAGAAATCTGTCAGTTATTATTGTTGTTTTTGTTATTCTCATTTTATAAAGGATGAAACTGAGGCTCAGGGAATTGAAGTAAATTGTCAAGGATCAAAGGACCATCAAATAAATGCCTGACTTAGGGATTTAACTTTGGTTCATGAACCCCATGACCAGTAACATGATATTTTAACTAGTGTTTCAGTACATGTGATTTTTGCTATGATAATATAGCATATCTATATTGATTTTTTTTGAGGGGGGGAGAGGGATGAACATCCCCCTCCAAAAAACACTGAAATGAATTCCTAAACAAAGGCATCTTTATTTAAATGCTTTTTTAAAATAATTTTTTGGTGACATAAACCTTCTTGTATGCAGAAGCACAAAACATTTTGCAATATTTTTAGCTAGAATGTTGTCAGCTAGGAGATGCATGTGTAGACTACTATTAATTTGATCAATTCCTGGAAAATTAAGTTGACTATTCAACAACCCACTGCGGAGATTATCTTTTGAAGAAAGAAATGTAAAATGTGAGAGGTTGTGGAAGAAATAAAAATCTTAAATAGTTTAGAGACTCAAATTTTAAAGATAGGAAAACTGAATCACAAAGAGGTTAAATTATTTTGTCACTTTCTTTAGTTCTACTCTTTCGTACTGCTTATGATTATAAGTGATAAGAGGCAAGGAATATGTCTGTTCAATCTCTTTTTATGTTGTTCAGTTATATTGTTCAATTATGTCTGACTCTTTGTGAACCCATTTGGGGTTTTCTTGGCAAAGATATTGGAGTGGTTTGCAATTTCTTTCTCCAACTGATTATAAAGATGAGGAAACTGAGGCAAAAAAAAATTAAGTGACTTGCCCAGGATCACATAGCTAGTAAGTCTGAGGCCAGATTTGAAATCCAGGCCAAGTGCTCTATCCACTGCAACACCTGGCTGCTCTTTTTATGGTGTCTTTCATAACAACCCTTCAATAACATAACAAACATCAACAATTCTAATTCAATTAAATGAATATGATAGTATCTTTAAAAATGTCCACAATGATGATTTTTAAATAATTTGTGTATGTTCATGTTATCATGCTTTTATCATTCAGAAGGGTGTCATTATGGAATATTTGCTGTTATATATTTTGAAAGACACAAAACATTTGTTAGGGTTCATTTTAGCTATTATTACCCCTTATTAAATTGATACTACAGAAATGTTTGACTTTTTCCTTCATGTTTTGTATTGCTAAATTTAAAAAATGCAATTCAACCCATTAAAACAAGGACTTTATTGAATAGACTACAGTGGGCTATATTAAGAAGACAGGGGAGACAAAAACAAACATCTGTATTCTTTCAATGATGTTATACTCATTCATTCCTTTGAAAAAAATCTTATGCCTTCAGTGGACTATAGACTCAATATAAGTCAATGGTATGGAATGGGAGCCTAAAATCTAACACAATCTTAGGCTGTGTTGACAAATGTAATGTCCCTAACGTGGGACCACATTTATAGACACTGCATTTTAGAAAGGATATTATTAAGCTCAAGTACGTCTAGAGTAGTTTGGTCAGGATGGTTAGAGGCCTTTAGACCCTGTCATATGAGGATTGATTCAAAGAACCTGGAAAAGATGAGACTTACTGGAGTCATGAAAGTTGTCTCCAAGTATTTGAAGAGATGTCCTGTAGAAAGGAAATGGTTTTCTTCTGCTTGGCCTCAAGGGCAAAAATAAAAGTAGTGGAATGAAATTGTAGAAAGAAAAAGTAGAATAGGCTAGGTGGTTTCATTGGAGGTCTTTAAACAAAATCTGGATAAACACTTTTCAGGATCATAGACAGAGCTGACAGGTACTTTTTAAAAGACCATTTAGTCTGACTTCCTCTTTTTGCAGATGAAAAAAAAAATGAGACCCAGAGATGTGAAGTGACCTGTACAATTTCCTCAACTCCTTTTCTAGTCTTACAATGATGGCCTCCCATGCTTGGGAGACTATTCTTCATTAGGTATCAGTTGGATTACAGGGGCTCAGTGGTTCCTTCAAAGTCAGAAAGTCAGTACTTTTTAGTGAGGAAAAAAAGGGATTAGTAGGGAAACGAGGAATATAGTCTATAGATCTTGTGAAAATTGTAGGAAAGGAAAATTGCCAGTGTTTTGCTACAAAAATTTGTGCGGTAAATTTTATTTCAAACATTTCCTCACTATAATTAAAAGGCCTGCCTTCAAAAACCAGTCCTATATGTCCTATTTAAATACATGCTTATGATCTTTCCCTTCACAGAACTATGGGAGAGTCTGTAAAGGGAATTTACTGTAATTTCTTTATTATAATAATTAGCTTCAGATTCTTCCCATAGACTATATTATGGCATGTCTAACCATATTGACTACTGATCATCTGTTGAAAATATTTTACAGCTACATGTACTTAGCCAGTTCTCTATTTCCCTAACTCTGCTAATGTAGGAGAATAATCTTTTTGTAGGGCATGTTTATGAAGAACCATGAACTTCAAATCAACCCTTACAGGCTGAGTACTCCCAAAAAAGTGTGAGTGACTTCTTTGTGATACCAAGAATGCTAGGTTGACTTACAGTAAACATATTTTGTATAATACTCAATTTCCTTCATATATGATTTGGAGATCCCATCTGAAAAAAAAAAAGGTAAGTAAAGAGATGTTGTGAATGGGTTTTCCTTTTCCAATATGAGAATTTCAGATTAATTTGAATAATCACAATACCAGTGCTCTAACTTTATGTTTGAGAATTCGCTCAAAGCAGAGAGCAAAGCTGTATTCAGATCTTTTCCAAAATCACTTGAATTTTAATCTAAACTTTTAAAGATTATTCTGTCACATTTAGGGGGATTATACTCTGCTAATATGAACAGAGGAAAAGTACAAAAATATATCTGACAAAATGAATCACCAAGGAACTCTTTGAGATTTGAACTATCAAAAACAAACAAACAACAAAGCTATTTTTTCAAGACAACCAGCTCTTTTATCACGTCTAGAATTTTTTTTTTATCTTTTTGGTCCAATCCATGTTGCAATTCTTTCAAAAAATTTAATGCTGTATTTAAACCTTAATGTAGAAACTTTGGGGCTCATACAGCTCAGTGTTCTAGGTGACAATGGACTCTTTGCTTTTACATCATTCCTTCAGTTTTTCATCTATTAATCAATCCTAATCTAGCCTAGGTATAGTAAATCCACTTAGACTGTTTCTTGTTGTGACTTCTCAGAGTAATTCTAATTTTTTCTCCATTTCTTTTTGTATGATCTTAATATTTTCTCTTTTTTTGATTCCCTTCTTTCCTATTTTGAATCATAGATCTGGTAATATGTCATAATCCATATCATACTAATTTTTGCGACCATTTTTTTCCACTGACTCTTTCTTTTTGTGTGAAGTATGCTCACATTCACTTCTGCTTAAGGAGTGGTAAATCATTTCTCATAGCTGACCAAATTTTTGTCCTTCATACTATTATCATTCATCAGGTTGAAATTTACATTATTCCCTCTTATTTTTGCTTATGGCCTTCAGTGTTTCTTTTGTATTTGTTCAGTCTTTGGATTATACTGACAGCAGCTAGGTGATGCAGTGGATAGAAAGTTAGAACTGAGATCAAATCCAGCCTCAGACACTTACAAGCTGTATGACCCTTGGCAAATCACTTAACTCCTATCTCTTTCAGTTTCTTCATCTGTAAAAAGTGAGTGATAACATCATGAGATTATAGTGAGAATCAAATGAGAAAACCTACATAAAGTTCTTGGCAAACCTAAAAGCACTATGTGAATGCTAGCAATTATTATTATCTACATCTTATTAATGTTTAATTGTTATTTAATTCTTAATCATGTTTGTCTGTATTCATCACATTCATCATTTCTTACTTCATGGTAATCATTAGATTCATGCACCATAATTTCTTTAGCCATTATCCAATTAACAGACATGTATTTTGTTTCCAATTCTTTGCAATCTCTCTCTCTCTCTCTCTCTCTCTTCTCTCTCTCTCTCTCTCTCTCTCACACACACACACACACACACACACACACACACACACACACACACACACACACGAGTCTTGCAATAAATACTTTGGTATATGTTAGGACTTTGGGCCCCTAGCACTTTGAGTGAAAAATTTATAGACAAGATTCCATTCTATATGGACCTACAATCAATATAAGGTGATATGACATGCATACAAGCAATTTTATTCCAAGATAGTTTATGATCAGTCTCATAAAATATACAAATTGCTATGTTATTTCAAAAGAAAAATCACTTTCATATAAGGGGATGGGGTAGGTCAGGGTATGTCTTCAAAGAAGAGATAACCCTTGAACAAGGATTTTTAAAACGGGTAGAATTTTGATAGGTAGAAGAGATATGGTGTAAAATATTATTGGCAGAGGGAACAGCACCAACAAAGGTATGGGAAACAGAATGCATGTTTTGGGAGTAGGGAGTAATCTAGATGGGCTAATTTTTAAAATTTTTAATTAACTAGTTAATTAGTATTTCCTTTTTTGGCTGTAGGTGACTAGTAGGGGACACATCTGGAAAAGTAAGTCGGGCCAAATTATGAATGGCCTTGAATTATGGATAAGGAATCTAGGCCTTATTCTATAGGAAATGGGGAATCATTGAAAGTTTTTGAGCATGACAGTGACCCAATCAAAGCAACACTTTAGGAAGATTACCCTGGCAGCTCTATGTATGATAGAATGTGTCAGGGAGAGATTGCAGGCAGGAAGACCAGTCAGGCAGTTTTTTCAATAGTCTAGGAAAGCAATAATAGATGTGTGAACTAGGGTGATGGCAGGGGAAGAGGACAAAGGGGATAAATATGAGAGCTTATGGAGGAAAAATCAACATGGCATGGCAGCTGATTAGATGTAGTGGGTTGAGGGAGGAATAAAAGCTGACTCCAAGTTTTCAAGCTTGACTTACTGTAAGAAGAGCATTACCACTGAGATGGATAGAACCAAAACAGTACAGTGTCAGGGAAGCTTACGGAGGGGGAAGACAGTTCACAGTGTCAAATGGTCCAGAGAGTTTAAGGAAGATGAAACCTGACAAAAGATCATTACGCTTGATGACCAAGAGAACACTGGGTGATTTTCCAGAGAGCAATATCAACAGAATAATGTAGATTAAATTCAGATAACAAGGGTTTAATTGAAGGAATTTAGATGTATTTAGTAATTTAAATTTACTTGAGATAATGTGGGTGTATAAGTCAGTCAGTTAATAAACTTTTTTAAGCACCTAATATGTGCCAGACAGTGTGTTTTATGTTTGTGTATAGTGGGGAAGGAAGGGCACAGAGCATGTGCTGAATAAACACTTATTGATTGCTTGGTTGGTTGAATAATTGATTGCGTGTTAGGATAGGAAAAATCTGGACAGATTATTTATAGGCACAAAAGAAGTCAGAGGAAAGTGCACTTTTGAAATTGCAGGAAATAGAGTGGATAATGAGTAAATCAAGGTCTAGGAGGAAGCAGGAAGGGAAAGGCTTAAAATCAGTGGAAACATCTCCTCACTTCTTCCAATACTCTATACAACAAAATACTCTTTTACCTCTAGTCCTGCTCTATTCACATTTAATTGTGGCAACATCCTTATTTGCCCGATAACCATTCTTTGTCACTAACCAAACTAGGCAGTCCTTTGTCACTAATCCATTCATTTGCCAAATATTCATAAACTTCCAAGTTCATTGTTATTCCAGGCTCTGGAAGGAAAGATAAATGAGTGGCAGTCCCAATCAGCATGGGAAAGAGAACCTAGGTTCAAATCTTTGATATGCTACTTACTTAGCTGTATAATCTTGCATTAGACACATATCTTCTATAGACTTCTTTTTTTCCTGAAGAGCTTTCCCAAGATCTTTTTTCAGGACCACTGCTCTCTACTCTTGCTTCCCCAACCTGATGATATTTTATTTATCTCTACTGAATTTCATCTTATTATATTCATCCAAATGGTCCAGCCTGTTGAATCTTTTGTATATAGATTTTGTCATCTACTGTGTTAGCTCTCCTTCCAAATTCTGTGTCATTTGAAAATTCAAGGAGTCTACCTTTCAAGTCTTTCTCTATCCTAGTTGCATGGTGTACAACACAGGACTAAGTATAGATCCCAGGTATACTCCTCTGAAGATCGCTTGTCATGTTGACATTGAACCATTAACAGCTATGCTTTGAATCTGGACAAATTTATCTGATTGAAATTCCATCTAATCCATATCTATCAATATTCTCCACCAGAACAATATGAGATTTTCTATAAAAGATTTAATAAAGTCTATTAAAATTTTATCCACAGAACTTTCCTTATCTACTGGGTTAGTAATAATCCTGTCAAGAAAGTATAACACTGATACTCTGGCCCTCACTGCTTACAAGGCCACATAGATTACATTTCATCCCTCCCCCAGGGGCCTCTTAAGGAGCTTGGGACCTGCTACCCTAAAGGGGTTCTCTGCCAATGACTCCAGCCTCTATTTATGATGTTCAATCACTTGAAGGTGGGGGAGGGAGGTAGAAATCCCCTACAAAAAGGAAATGCAGTTTGTCTGAAGTGACCAGTTCATTCTACTCTATCTGTTATCTAAGGTCTGGCCTTGTTTTTTTCAGCTCCACAGATGATGTCCTCCCTGGTAAAGCTCATTACCTCTAATCTCATCACTATATTTCTAACTAAAGCTTTGATTGATACCATCTTCCTTAACCTCCTCAGTCTTCTTATTGAAGGGATGGAGGATGGAGTACCAAACTCCTCCCATTGCTTTCCTTTATAGAGGGCAGAAACTGAACCTTTTGTGCTCATTCTACTCTGCATCTGCTGCCCTGCCTAGTTTTTTTATACAGAACAAGGTGCCCCCACTCCAGGAACTCCCTAGGAATTCACTCCCCCCCACCTATCTCTTCCAGTCTTTTGTGTGTTGTCCTCTCCATTAGATTGTAAGCTCCTTGAGGGCAGGAACTTTCTTTTTATTAATTGTATCATCAATGCTTAGCACAGTACCTGGCACATAGTAGGTGATTAATAAATGTTTATCAGATTGGATGTTGATGAAGTCATATTGACTCTGTAATCACCACATCCTTTTCTAGATATTTTCCAACATTTATTTTATGATCCATTCTAGATGTCCTCGGTAATCAAAGTTAAGTTTACTGCTCTACAATTTATACATTCTATTACCTTTGCTTATATAAAAACTAGACTCCTTCCCCAATCCATGGAGAAACCAAGCAATATGATATCAATTATAGATGTGAAATCATAGAAAATGTATTTCTATAATTAGCTGTATCAAAACAACAAAAAAAAAATCATACTTCAAAAAAAAAATTAAGTGAGGCAGTTGGGGTTGAGTGACTTGCCCTGGGTCACACAGCTAGTGTCTTATGCGTCTGAAGCCGGATTTGAGCTCAGGTCTTCCTGACTCCAGGGCTGGTGCTCTATACACTGTACTACCTAGGTGCCCCCACAAATTCTAAGGACAATAAAAAGTTGTCCTTAAAAGAGAATCAAGAAAGTGATGGGACAACTGCTCAGGTGAAAAGGACTTTGATAATGGGTAAAAAAAAAAAAGCAAATAAAAGTACACGATTCTTAAAAAAAAAACAACTAGACTCCTATTGGTCATTTTTATTGTATCATTTCTTATACAAAGGTCTTTTCCCTTTGCAAAGGAAACAGAAGCAAAGAAATAAATGAGCAGCTATTTTTTCCCTGTGGTTAGTCCCATCTACTCCACTCAAAGGGGAATAGTCCTAGCCTTTCTTTGGTTCTCCTTTTTTCTTTTGACATCTTTAAAAATTGTTGTTTCTGCTGTCGTTGTCCTTTTGTCACCAGCCAGAGTTCATGCTGGACTTTAGCTTTCCTGATAATATTTTTATAGAACATATATACACACACATGCATGTATACACACATGCACACATATATACACATGTACATATTGATAGATTATAATAAATATAGATACAGAAGTCATTTGTATAAAGATGGTAGTGAAAGTCATTGGCCTGATGATGGTATAGAGAATGCAAGTGTAGAATAGGACTCTGATCTTCAGGTTCTCCATAAAGCAAAAAAAAAAAAAATTAAGAGAGAGACTTGAACTAAATTACTTCTAAGACCCTTTTCAGCTTTATGATCTATATATTAAGTATCATGTTTAAATTGATTTTTTTTGAAGTGACTAATGACTTTTATTTTTAAGTATATGGCTTATAAATTGACCTTAAGTGAGTTTCCAAAGAGAATTTCCAAAAAATAATTTGAGCAGTGGTAGGTAGCCTCATTACAGTAAAAAAAACCCAACACACCAAATTGATGGACAACATCATGCATTTTGAGGTATTTGTTACAGAAAACAATAACCTATTACATAAAAATCACAGCCTGTACTACTATCCTTTTTTGTTTGTCTTAGTTTGGTTTGGTTTGTCCCTGGGCCAAGCCATCACAATAATATCATGTGGTAAGAATGTAATCTGGATGAATATCAAAAGGTTCTTGGTGAACCTGCCCTCTCACTAGTCAGAAAGTTCCTGGCTAGATGTACAGAGATGACCAGCTAGTCAGGCAGAAGCATGGGGACAAGGAAGAACAACAGTAAATCATATTAACTATAAAGATGTGTCTTGCTCCAGTAACAATTATTGCTTGTTGGCCTTTTTAGGTATGTTATGTAGGTGGGGGAGATAATTATAATTTTAAAAGTATACAGTATGCTTGGAGATGTTTCTTTCATCTAACATCCATTATACGCTATCTTTCTGTAATGTTTAAATATACTTCCAAGTATTCATTCAGCTGGGTTTTTTTTATCTCTCTTTTTTTTTTTTGGTTAGGCAATGGGGTTAAGTGACTTGTGCAGGGTCACACAGCTAGTAAGTGTCAAGTGTTTGGTCTGAGGCCAGATTTGAACTCAGGTCCTCCTGAATTCAGGGCCGGCGCTCACCATCTAGCTGCCCCTTTTTCATCTCTATTAATGAGTAGCAGCCTCCCTTATAAGAACATTAATATAATTTTTAAACTTCTCTTTTCACAAAGTAGCCATTAATGACCTCTTTATGAGTGGTACAGTTCCCTCAAATTTTCAAGTTCAGACTGTTCTGTTATCTCATCAACCCTCTGTTCAGTTTACATTCCGTGCCTAACTGTTCCTTGTAAATCCAATTTTTGAGTAATGTTGTTGCAAAGAGATTCTGTTCTCAACTTTCCAATTACTTTGCTAATAATAATCACTCTGATTGTTTCCAACCTAATTTCCATCTCAGGCACAGCTAAGAAATGTTCTCTTCCACTTAGGTGAAGATCTCTTGAGTCTTATTAGTTAATAATCAGAGCTCCTTTATATTCTTCATTATTTTAGATTTAATGCCATATTTGACAATACTGAACATAATGTTTTATAAAATAACTATCAACCATCCTTCCATGTAACTTAGCTTTAGCATCTTTAGTGTAGGTTATTATTTTTTTTATTAAATCTCTGCCTACACCATGATTCTTTCTACTATGTATATGGAAATCACACTTTTTTAGCAATTATAACTGACATTAATATTTTAAAATCATCCAAAATTTTTTTTTTATAAATGAAGATCTTATTTTATCCTTATAGCATATTTGTGAGGTAGGTAGGTAATCAATCAATAAACACTTATTAAGTGCTTATTATGTTCCAGGCTAACTATTTGACTTGGTAAGGCAAGCAAGCTCTTATTAACTTGGTTTCTTTTTTATTTTATTTTGTTTCTTTTAAATAATTAATTTATTTTTAGTTGTCAACATTCACTTCCATAAAATTTTGATTTTTAAATTTTCTTCCCCTTCCCTCTCCTCTCCCCCTTCCCCCCCAGACACATGCAATCTGATATAGGCTCTACTTAGACATTCATATTAAGCATATTTTCCAATTAGTCATGATGTAAAGAACAATGGGAAGAACCATGAGAATGAAGCAATATAAGAAAACAACAAAGTAAAACGAGATCAAATAGTATGCTTCCATCTGCATTCTTTCTCTGGATGTGGATAGCATTTTCCATCATGAGTCTTTTGGAGTTGCCTTAGATCCTTGTATTGCTGAGAAGAGACAAATCTATCAAAATCAGTCATTGCATATAGTTTTCTTTTTTTAACAGATGACAAAATTGAGTCTAAGCTATGTGCCAGGTTTATATGGTATGTTGCAATTAGAGATAGTCCTAGAATTCAAACCTTCTGCCTCTACTTCTACTATTCTAATTACCCTGAAGTTAAGAATGTAAGAATTGCCAACATAAATAAACTCTATTGTCCAAACAAACCATGATTTTCATGATATCTTTTATGTGTGGAGGGTTTTTCAGCTTACAAAGCATTTTTATAACTACTATTCTGAGGCCCCATACCATAGATTATGCAAGAACATCACATTCGGTCAATCAACTAACAGGTATTTATAAGTGCTTGGATTATAGAGGCAAAAAAGAAATAGACCCTACCCTCAAGTAGTTTATATTCTATGGGGAGGGGGGTGAGACAATATACACATATAAAAGTATGTAAACACGGAGGAAATCAGGAAAGGCTTTCTATAACAGGTGGTGCTGGAACTAAAATTAAGGAAAATTGGAATTCTAAGAGGCAAAATAAGAAGGAAAGGGACTCTAGGCATAGTGAACAGCCTTTCCCAACCCCTCATAATTCTAGCAGCTTTTCTTTCAATTATTTCCTATTTTATCCTCTATATAACTGGTTTATACATATTTGTTTGCTTGTCATCTTCTCCATTAGATCGTAATGGATTGTAAGTACCTTGAAGGCAGGGACTGTCTTTTGCCTCTTTTTGTATCGCCAGTGATTAGCACGGTGCCTGGCCAACGTATGAAAATGATAAATGTTTTTTTAACATTTTAACATTTATGGAAGTCAAAGAGATGGGAGATGAAATGTGGCATGTAAAGAACAGCCAATCTGACAGAACTACAAAGTGCTTAAAAGAGACTAATATATAACAAGGTTAGAAAGAAAGATTGGATCCATGTTGTGAAGGATTTTAAATGTCGGAAGAGTTTCTATTTGATTTGAAGCAGCCAATGGAGTTTGTTGAGTAGAAGAGTGAAGAAAATGTTATTAACTGTTCCTCCTTGAATATTGAAAAGGATTTTATATACCTTCTCAGAATCCATACTTTCCCAGGATATAATCTTCCTGCAGAAATCTCCAATACTTTGACCAGAATGGAAACATAAATTTCACTGAAAAAAAAATTATAGTCATAAGAACTCAAAAGAACTTTGACATAGTTGTGGTAATATTAAATTCTTAGTCAACTTCTGTTTAGTATACTTTATGCAATGCATAATGTGTTGAAATCCTTTTTTTGTATCTCATAATAGAATTATAATATGTGCTCTTGCAGTAATAGTCCTAGAATTTGTAACATCCAAACTCTGACATTAAGAAAGACTCTTATTTTTTCTCACCATTTACATGCATTTTAATATTCATAGGCCAAGCTACCCTGCCCTCAGTCATTTCTTCTTCCATCCAGAATTCAAAGTACAGACCTCCAAGAGAGACCTATAAATACTTTTGCTTTCAAGCACCTTCTGCATTTTACTTAGTCTTGGGTTACAAAACTGTTGGGCTTAGATTAAATTTCATTTTACCACCAAAAATAATTTGAATTTAAAATGCATATATACTTTAAGAGAACATATATCTTTTTAAATAAAACAAACATTTAATGTCATAAAAATTCCATTGCATTCAGAAAATTTGCATTAGTCCCACCCATAAATATGAATGCAATCCTGCCCAATCTTACTCTCTGAAGCCCTCCTCACTTCTTTCTCTCATTCTTCCATATTCTTATGATAAGAAAAACTAAGCATTTACTGACAGGCAATGCTCAGCTTGCTCTCTTACATTCAAATGCACATGAAAAGCAACCAAGAGGAACCTAAAAGGTGAGCTAGGGAATATTAAAGTTTTCTGACTTCTTGTTAGAGTTCATTTAGGTCAGCTGGATGATTTTTATTATATTTACCTTTATTTCTTTTAGGGCCTTTCAAGAAATGGACTAGTGCTCATTTTCTTGGGTTAGAGGTCCCCAGTTAGTAGGTGGGGATTTACTGGCAAATATTGAAGCATCACTTGGCAAATTTTGAAGTCTGTTGCTGTTACAATACAGTGCCCTCTGCCCCAACCTCCTTCTATAACTTGTTGAATTTTCTGGGTAGGGAGAAGGCAGTTGTGCCCCTCCTCCATTATTTTTAGAAACTTTACTGATAGGACCTCTGTAAATGTCTGTCTAGGAACTTTAATCTCAGTGCATCATTTTCCCTCCTCTTCTTCCTTTCAGAAAAAAAAAAAGATCAAATATGATGGAAGAAATCACACACACACACACACACACATACACACACACACAAACACACACACACATACACACGCCAGTTTAACACAAATGAAATGTTTATAAAATTGGAAGGCTTTGGGCAAATAAAAATTGGCTTCTCATACTACTTTTGGAGCCATAAACCTCATATCTTCCAAATCTCAGAATCCACGTACATGCATTACAATCACAAATCCAAATTTATTCATTGTCAGTCCACATTTACCACCCAATTAAGAATCTGGTAGCTGTTATGTCAGGACATTCTCTATTTTTCTTCAGCGAGTTCAGTGACTGGCTCAATCTTTCTCTTTCTCCCCATACTGCCCTCATACTAGAATTCAACATATATACTGATACTCCCTCAAATACCCTAAACTACCAGTTCCTCAACTTACTTATTTCCTATAAACTCTTCCTCTAACCTACTGCAGCTATACATAGAGATGGTCACACTCTTGATCTTGCCATCAACCTTACATCTTCCATTTCCATGTTCTTGAACTGTGAAAAGTCCTTAACTTATCACAATTCTACTCTTCCCTCTGCCTTGGAACCCCAAGCCCTGTTCTTTGTCCTCATTGTGATCTCAGATCTTGCGCTGCCAGAACGAAGCCTTTAATTACTCTCACCATCCCCTCTCTGCTACTACTCATGTGCTAATGAATAAAGCTGGAGAAAATCATAAAACTACACAGGGCTCTCCCTGAAGTAAGGCAAACTTTTTAGATATCCCTATTCTATTCACGATCCCACTCAACATAGTATCTGTTCCAAGCTGTTTTATCCTTTCTCAAACTTTCCATGCCTTCCCATCTCATTTGTTTTATCTGAGAACCTTGCTGCATATTGCTGAAAAAAAATTGAGACCATTTATGAGAGTTCCCCTTTTTTCCTCTTCCTCCTCATTTTATATCACGCAGATGCATTATGCCACTATTTACTCCTTCATATCTGTCTGAAATGAAGATCTAGCCCTTATCATTGTCAAGCCAGAACCCTTTACATGCACAAGTGATCCTATTCCTCCCCATCTTCTCTAACACATTGACCCTTTTATTATGTCTGTTCTTTCATTAATCTTCAATCTCTACTCGTCTACTAGTTGCTGTCCTAATGATTACAAATATCTTCCTCATTCTCCAAAAGCCTTTAATTTATCTGTCCATTCTACTATCTATCATTCCATATCTTTTTTTCTTTTATGGCTAAACTTCTTGAGAAGATCATCTACCATCAGTACCTTCACCTCCTTTCCTTTGACTCTCTTAATGTCCTGCAGTCTGGTTTCTACAGCACATTCATCTGAAACAATTTTCTCCAAAGTTACCAATGATCTCTTATTTGATAAATCTAATGGTCTTTTCTCAGTCCTCATTCTTCTTGACTTCTCTGTAGCAACTGACACTGTTAATCACCCTCTTCTCCTTGGTATTCTTTTCTCTCTAGGTTTTTATGACACCATTCTGTCATCTTTCTCCTTCTACCTGTCTGATTATTGCTTCTCAGGCTCCTTTGCTGGATCTTTATCCATATCATGCCCACTTACCTGTTAAATGCTCTCCAAATATCTTGTCCTGTGATTTCTCTTCTCTTTATATACAATTTCACTTCAACTCCCATTGATTTAATTACTATCACTAGGCAAATGATTCTCAGATCTTCATTTCCAGCTCTAATTACTCTTCCAAATTCTAATCTTGCATCTCCAACTGACTATTGGGCATCTTGAACTGGCTATGCTAAAATAGATGACTTAAACTTAAAATGTCAAAAAACTGAACTCATCTTTCCTTCCAAGCCTTTCCTTCTTCCTAAAATTCCTATTACTGTTGAGTTATACTGAAAAGTAGAGAGTAACTTTTATAGAGAATAATAGAGAGTAACAACTGATAAGTTGATAATATAATCCCTACATCTTATTCAGTGACTATCAGCAATATGAAAGGTGTATGTCTTCGTTTGCAGGTTGGCATAGCATCATCATAGAGGGTAGTTATCATAGATAATAAACCTTTTCAAGACACAAATTCTGAAGAATAGAAGAAAAGAAATGAAAGGCCATGGAAGATCAAATTACTGTTTACCCAATGAACACTGTGGGTGGTAAGACTAGGGTGCCACTTTCAAAGTAATCAATTAATAACTGGGCTGCTGAAGTCTCAGGAACAAAAAAAAAAGAAGCTTCAGAGAACAAAATATGGTACATGATAATATATAAAGACCTTTGTTTCTCTCCTAGAACCCTTTACAACCAACTACTTGGTGCATTTCCATTCTTTTGATATTTTACTTCACTCTGCACATACTATGATCCAGTTACCTTGACCTGCTCATTGATCCTTGCACATCACACTCTTTTTCCCATGTCATGCCTTTGCCCAGGCTGTCCCCCATTCCTGGAATGCTTTCCCTACTTGCCTTGGCCTCTTAGTATCTGCCTTACTTCAGGAATCAGCTCATATCTCACCATCTGCAGGAAGACAGGCAGGAAGAAGAATCTTGGCCTCTCTCTCTTCTTCTTCCCTCAGAGATGACCTTATACCTACTCTGTATATGTCTTATATCTACATAGTTATTTCTATGTTGTCTCCTACTAGTATGTGAGATCCTTAATGACAGTGCCAGTCTTTTGACCTTTCTTGTATCCTCAGCACTTAGCACAGAGTGTAGCATGGTAAGCACTTAATGAATGTTTATTGACTGACTGTGTTTGTGGGACAGACATTAGAAACGCACAATGCTTACTAGCTGTGTGACCGTGGGAAAACCACTCAATCTTTTCTGTTTCTTCATCTCTAAAATAAGAGGCCTGAACTTGATGACCTTTAAGATCCCTTCCAGCTCTAAATCTATGCCCCAATAATCCTAAGAATACAGAGACAGTTACTAGAGGGCAAACAGTGTTTGGCTCATAATTTGATAGGCTAGAGTGAAGGCACAAGAAGAATCCAAAGGAGTGTTTATGTCAGGAGTACAAAAATGAGCATGGGAGGAGTCTGGTTGAAACAAAATATGTTTAAAAAGCAGAAATCTCTCATCATAGTGGTGCTGTATATAGAGGGTGCATTGACTCCACCTCCCCCACTCCAATTTTATATTTTGCAGCTGGGAATTAGGAGCTTGGATCTTGGACAGAGTGGACCTGAGTGGGCAGATAAATGAGAGTATGAGTCCAGTATGTCCTGTTAAAGAGCTCTGAAGAAGAAATTGAAAATATTGACCCTGATCTGGGGAGTGAAAGAACAAACCACTGCACAGTCAGTCCTAAAGGAAAGTTAGGCAGAGATAATGTGATTAAGGCAGCAGACCGAAAAGATGATTTTGATAGCAGCATTTAGAAGTTGAAGAGCTATTCTGAAAGGAGTAAGACTAGAGAGCAGAAGATTGCATGGTAGTCATTCAGCAAGGATATAATCAGAGGCAGAATAAAGGACCTTATTCTCAAACTGAGTCGGGGTGAGGTGGGAAATATTCTGAAGCAATGGTTTTTCTTTCAGTTTTACAATGGGAATAATACGTGGGTGGGATAGCATATTGCTATGCGTGTAATATAAAAAAAAATAATAAAAACTTGCCTACAGGAGTAGGTAGGTGTCACAGTGTATAGAGCACTGCCCCTGTAGTCAGGAGGACCTGAGTTCAAATCCAGCCTCAGACATATAACACTTGCTAGTTGTGTGACTTGGGGCAAGTCACTTCATCCCAATTGCCTCACTAATAAACAAACAAACAAGCAAATAAATAAATAAGTGAGCAGATAAATAAATAAATAATTGAAAAAATGAAAGCGTGTCTAGTAGGGACAGTGAGTCATGATACATAATCCTGAATGGAGCCTTAGACAGTAAATGTAGAAGATGAATGGTAGCTGGATAGACTAGCTCCCAAAGTTGTTTGGAATAGGAAACAGCTAGGTGGCCCAGTACATAAAGTCAGAAAGACCTGATTCCAGATAGTTCCATTCTCTTGTTTCCAATTGCTTGCATGCTTGCTAGGTACTCTATTTTGACATCCCACCAGCACCTTAAACTCAACAATTCCTTAAAAACTTAGCTAAAGTTCTACCTTTTACATTAGGTTGTTTCCTCCTTCTCAAAGCTATTTTAGTCAAAAATTATCTAAAAATTATTATTACTTTTTTAAAATTTTGCATCTATTCTATATACTCATTGTTTCACCTGTCAGAATGTAAGCTCTTTGAGGGCAGGTATTATTTCACATTTTTGTCTTCCCAGCACTTACCACAATGCCTGGCATACTATTGTTGGTACTTAGTAATTATTGATTGACTAATTAAACAAGTCAAAATCAATCACATATTCTGTCTCCCCAAACTAACTTATCTACTTGAATTCTTTTTTGCTTACTAGTATTCTCCTTCTTCTAACTGCACAAAGTCAAGACATGAGCTATTTGACTCCTTCCTCTCTCTCATGTCCAATGCTATGAGGCAATATAGTAGAATGGGAAAAAAATGAGATTTAGAGTCAAAAGCCCTAAATTTGAGTCCTAAATCTGGTACTAACTACCCATGTGGTGGTAGGGGGAGTCATCAACCTCCCTGAGATTCTGTTTTGTCATCTATAAACTGAGGGAGTTGAAGTAGATTTCCCTTCTAGCCCTAAATACTAGAATTCAATCCAATTATTTGAACCTTTCTTATCCAATCCTATGACCTAAAACTTATGAGCCAAGTACTTATCAAGTCCTATTCATTCTATCTTTACAATGTTTCTATTCTTTCCATTTCTGCTATACTATCTCTCCATTTCAGGCTTTATTTTTTTTTAAACCTCACATTGGGCCTGCTGTAATGTTGTCTTATGGGGTAACCTTGGGCATTTCTCTTTCCCCTCCAACCTAGTCTGTGTACTATGCTTAGGGTACCTTTCTAAACCACTGCTTTGGCTATGCTCACAAACCTTTAAAAACTCTTCATTGCTTAATGAATAAAATCAGAATTCTTTGTTCAAAATCTACCACCCATCTTCTAGGATCTAGAAGTTACAAACTATCAAGTTACCAACTATCATTTTAAAGAAGAGGAAACTAAGATGTCTCAGGAGTTAGCAATTGGCTGGACACTGAACGATAAATTTGGTAGACTGAGATAGGGTAAGAGCATTTCAGGTCTGGAGAATGTTATCAGAAAAGAAGAGTTAAGTTGTGAAGCATACAATGTCTTTGGAGAAGGTCCAGTTTGGAGCAGAAAGAACTTCAAGGACCATTGGGAGTTGTGAGAGAGGAAGCAGCATGAGACTAAAACAAGGAAGTCAGCTAGGTGGTCTACTGTATAGAATACTGGGTTGTAAGTCAGGGAGATCTGAGTTCAAATCATACTCCAGATATTTACTAGCTATTGTGACAATGAGCAAGTCACTTAAATTTTCTGGATCTTGTAAAATGACGGAGCTAGATTCTGTTACCTCTTCAGTCACTTCCACTTCTAAACCTATATAATTCCATCATCCTCTATAGCAATTTTCATGATTCCAATCCTCCTTGAACAAAAACTCTTTGTAAAATGC